TGTTTTACTTCGTACTCGTCTATTTTTACCATATTTACTAAATGGATTATTTTTTTAGACTACATATGTTTTGAGCGAAAGTCTTGGGTGGTGTTGTTTGCCACACAGAATTTGAATTTGCAAATCCTAAGAGTTACTAAAAAACTAAGTATTAAAATATGATGTCAAAACATTAGTTTGACACGATTTAGACAGCTTTTTCATGGTTATAAATAAAAGATCTGACCAGAACAATTTTAGGGAAGGAAAAGCATATTTGAGGGTTCATGGTTTCAGAGGTCTCAGTCTATAGACAGATGGCTCTTCCTTGGGGCTCCAGTGAGGCTGAACATCATACTGGAAGAGTGTGGCAAGGGGAAACAGCTCACATGATGATCAGAGAGCAGAAAGACTCCACTGAACAGATACAACACATACCTTAAAGGCATGTCCTCTCGGACTCACCTCCTCCAGCCACACCTTACCCATGTTCAGTTACTATCCAGTTAATCTCATCAAGGGATTAATTCATTGATTGGGTTTAAACTCTCATAACCCAATCATTTCTCCTCTAAATTTTGCACTGTCTCACACATGAGCCTTTGGGGGACACCTCACATCTAAATCATAATATTATAAAAACTGGAAAACAAGACATCTATACTTTAGACCCCAAATTGAGGTTTTTAATATACAATTTTAAATGTTTCTTCATATATTTTACTAAGGAAGAAGCAATTTTAGAAGTAAAACTCTTAATAAAACCAAAATAGTAAACAAATATGCTTATAAAATTTGATGACCATATTGGAAATCACTATCATTTTTCATATCAACTCATGTTTGCCATAAGATGACATTACACACACACATAAAAAGAGTTTTCCCCCACTTTAAATAATAAACTTGAAAGTAAAAATGGGTAACTGCTATTAGCATGCAAAATCAATGAAAAATATACTTGTGAAGAAAATAATCCTTAGGCAGATGTACTTTTTAAAAAACGTTTTAATTCCTTAATATACCTCTAAAGAAGAAAAACAGTAAGTCGTACAGTATAATTTCTTATTCAAAATGTTATCTTACCAAAGTATATTCATATCAAAGGATATCTACTTCAGTTTTATAAAAAATCTTAAATTAAAAAATTTTAAAAAATAACTCTATGTTCTTAGTTCAAGTGAATAATTGTTAAAAACTGAAAAATTAACAAATAATTGTTTATTTCTCAAAAAAAAATTTTGAGAGCAAAGTAACAGGATTTATTAGAATAGAAGGAAGGGAGGGAAGGAGGGAAAGAAGAGAGGGAGGAAAAGTGAGCTCCAGAAGGGGGAGGAGTCCTAGGAGAGGGGTACCAATGCTTTTTTAAAACAGTAAGAAAGATGCTATGGTTTGAATATTTGTGTCCCCCCAAAATTTACAGCCTGAAACCTTAACCCCCAAAGATAATGGTATTAGGAATGGGACCTTTGGGAGATGATTTGGTAATAAGAGCAAAGCCTTCATGATTAGTATAAGTGTAAAAGAGACTTTAAAGATGAGCTCTCCCCCACCACCAGGTGAGGATGCAGCAGAAGGCACCATCTCTGAACCAGAAAGTGAAACTTCTCCAGACATGGAATCTGCTGGCACATTGATCTTGTACTTCTCAGGCTTCAAAACTGTGAGAAAGAAACACCTGTAGTTTATAAACTACTCAGGTTGGTATTCTATTAGAGCAGAATCGACTAAGACAGGAAGGAAGGAAATAATCAGTGTGGCATAAAAAGTCATGGAGTATTCTGTTATTCCTACATAAATTTTAAATACAAAGTTATAATCTATTCAGACCTCCTTAGGACCTTTAGCAAAGAAAAATACTTATTCAAGGTACATGAGTAATTTATAAAAACAAAAGACCTAACATACATGATAAGTTTAGTGGGAAAAGAAAGGAAACAATGGGGGTGATGAGAGAGAAAGAGGAAAGAGGATTCTAGGAAACAAAGTATGAAGAAAAAAGAGGGAAAATATGCTTTAAACCAATCCAGGAAATCCAAATTTAGATTGGTGAATTAAGAACTTACTATTCATTCTTTTTTTAAAAGCCTACTTATAGGATACAATTAAATGCAAAGTCTCATTATATCTAAAACATAGTATTATTTATTTATAAAAATATCCATTCATACCTGTTTTAAAGAAGTAAATCTGCATAATAAACTACAGTTATATGAAAGTGTTTAATTCACTGGGCTGGGAATTTAGCTTGCTGGTTGAGCATTTTCCCAGCACATAGAATGCCCTGGGTTCAATTCCCAGAACAAATTAAAAAGGAAAAAACAAGAAACTTTTGAGTTTACTACTCTGATCCAATCTTTGACTGTAATATCAATAAAATTTACTTCTATACTAATAAACAAATGCATCCAACGGTCAAAAATTTATCTATAAGATAGAAAATTTGATAAAGAAACAGGAAGTTAAGTACTTTTCTATACAATTAATAAACAATGTTAGTAAAGCGTGTGTTTCTTCTAAAATCTTCAAAACAAAACCTAAAATATGAGCTGTGTTTGGAATCTTAAAGTTCAGGAGGAGAATTTTTCCTAATATAACTACCGAAGTCCACATACAATTGATCACAATTCTAGGTATAGAAAATTGCCACATACTGAGATTTAGTTTGTATACTCTAGTTTTCAACCCTTATATGTGTGAGAACCTCTCAAAAACATCCCTCAGTACACATAGTGATTTTAAACCTATCATAAATGGGTTAAGAGCATAGTCATCTTGTGCATGAGGAAATACTATTCTCTGAGTTAACATGATTCAAATCACAACTCACAAAATAATCTATACTATATCAAAGTGCAGTTAAAGTGTACACATAAAGCCAGCTATCAGCAACAAATCCAAAAACATGAAACTAATCTGGGAAACTCCAGTAAACATAAAGCATGTGAATTCAAAGACCAATTAATACAACAAAAATGTAACAAATTTTAAAAGACAAATTAAATTTGTAGTTAAAATATGCACACAATTCTACATACTTTGAGAATTTTTAGTAATTAAAAACAATAAAATTAGCCAGGTCTGGTGGCACACACCTGTAATCCCAATGGCTCGGGAGGCTGAGGCAGGAGGATCATGGGTTCAAAGCCAGCCTCAGCAACTTAGTGAGGCCCTAAGCAACTCAGTGAGATCCTGTCTCTAAATAAAATACAAAATAGGGCTGGGATGTGGCTCAGTGGTCAAATACCCCTGTGTTCAATACTCGGTATAAAAAAAAAAACAAAACCTGATAAAATTAATAACATTTAAAAAGCTTCATAAGAACAGGTGACTAAGAGAAAGATTGCATGCCAAAGAACATCAAATAGAATCACCTTATTATTAGATTAAATGGAATTACCATGTTAACATGTCAATAAAAATAATTTTAAAAAATAATTAAAATCAATTAAGAAATCAGTAAATAATTTGGAAAACTACATAAACTTTCTTGAAAAAAACATTTATACATTTCCCAAACAGTGAAATTTATGCTTTTCAAGTGCTAAAAAAATACTCTCAAATGCATTTAAAAGATAAAAGTATATTTTTAAAAGTCAACATAAATTGAAGTTTTGAAAATATAAATGGTATCTTATGTAGTTTTTTTAAATCAGTAATAACACTAAAGGTAATTTGTGAAGTTTAATTTTAACATAAAAATTTACTGCAAGATTATTTTAACCCACTTGTTAAGAAACAATTACACATTATTATTTCTTCTTTAATACTAAATAATGTTAATTAGGTATTAATGTTAATACCTAATTTAAATTAGGTATTTTAGGTAAATGAGCTAATCTGTTTTTTAAATCCAAAAATAGGCCAACAATGAAAAATAGGAATCTAACTTTCGTTCATTGTTTTAAAGTATTTTCCGTATAGTTTCTCCAAACATTAATTATAATTCTAATTGTGACCAGTCTTATAGCTTCTAGTAAGGATCTAATCTAGGTCAACAATAAGCAAGTAAATGAGCATGAAAACTGTATGTACTAATCTATGATATATACTCATTTTATGCATACACACATCTTTATCAAGCTTTCCTTAAATTGTATGTTTAGTTTTTCCTTCCAACTTAACTCAGGATTAAAGGGAACTCTAGAAGTCATAAATAGAGACCAAAACCAAGTTTCTTATTTTTGCTAAAATGTCAATCTAACTGTAGTAGATTTAAGGTGGATGTAAATAAACATTGTATGTATTTCTCTTAATGCTATTCAAAAATCTCAGAAAATATTTCCCTGGGGGGGGGCAATTTGATGTCTCAAATAGAAAGTTTCACTCATTAAAACAGTTTTAAATAGCCTTACTTACATTTCTCTTGTCTAATCCAATAATGGTTGTATAATATTCTACTTCAGTTATTTCTATATGGGAACTTAGTAAAACCTAGTTTATCAGTTAGTTAATAAACCTGTTCAATGAATACTAATAAATCTAAATTTATCCAGAATAACAAATGAGAATACATGCTATTTCAAAATAACATGCATCTCTTTAAAAATTCAGGCAATTTTCAGAATACTTAAATCACGTTGGCTGAGTTGAGGTTTAGTTTCTATAGAATAAAGTTTTCTTATTGTTTTATACTCTTTTGTGAAATAAAAATTTGATTTAAACTACTTGATTATAATTACTTTCTTTTGCCTTGTACAGGATGCATTCTATTATTGGCCTACACCTAGTTACCCAGAAATATTAATGGAACAATACTGTTTCGATTAGGCACAATTTCTTCTACTTTTAAAGATGAAGACTTCGAAGCCTAGTTCTATAACTAGTCATATTTTAAATTTGGATTTTAAAAATGTAGTAGAGGCACATTTTTTTTAAACAAATACAGTATGAAATTTTGCTTTTCAGAGTCAGTGAAATTTTTTTTATGTTGTTTCTATGGCTATTTGTTTTACTTCCTTCTTTCCAACAAGATTAATAGCAATCTTCATTCTTTAGAGTTAGAAACACACAGGCTTAAATTGTATGAAAATATAACATGGTATTGCCAGGTAAAGACAGGTAATCTAGCACCATAAGAACAATTTGTACTAAATTTTAACACTATTCATTAACAGTTCCATTTTCCTGAGTTTGCGTTTGTTCCTTGGCATTGGCTTGGGATATAATCCATTTTTCAGAAGATATTCCTTGCTGAGGCGAATTTGAGCACCATGCTGAAGTTGGAAAGAGCATAAAGCTTGAAGAGGACGAAGCAAAGTCTGTTAAGGGAAGAAAAAAAAAAGACACTGAAAATTTATTTGTGACAAATCATGATACCCTACTTTTTTCTTTCAAAAACAGAGGGAATATTGCCCATATTTCTATATGGAAAACAAAGTTTAAACTAAGTTTAAACTATGTTTTATTCAAACATAGTAAAAAATTGTTGCTCTAATACTAATTTAATCTATAAAAAGCAGACTAAAAGAAACTTTTAGATACAAAGATAAGCACACTGAATTAGTTAACTCACAATTCAAAGAAATGCAAACTTACTGACAAAGACAATTAAAGGGTGACAGCAGGAGGTTAAGTGGTTTACTTCTTCTCTCCCCAGAGTCTAGGACCACATACAAGTTAGATACCTGGGCTTTAATGCATATGAAATCATCCTAACTACACGTGTATCTGTCTAAATTACCCTATAGAGCCTAGCATGTAATATAAACACATAAACTGAGTGGATTTAGAGGCTAACAGTGAAGGAAGGGGTTGTAATATAACTATAGTACACACTCTACTGAAAGTTATTTAAATTTAAAAAGAAATTTTAAAAACACTATGTCAGGGTTTTAAATACACTTTGGATTGGATTGTTTTCTTGGTCTTGAAACTCCTGCTTTAAACCTTTTAAATAGTGATAGCAAAAAAATTTTTTTACTATGTAAATAGTAATAGCAACAATTTTTTTACTATGTTTGAATAAAACATAGTTTAAACTTCATTTCTCTTGTCTAGTCCAATGAACTTCTATTCTTCCCTTGCCCCCTCTTATTGTATATTATCATCCACACATTGGAGAGAACATTCAGCCTTGTTTTTTTGAAATTGGCTTATTTTTCTTTTCTCTCTCTCTTTTTAAAATTTATATATGATAGCAGAATACACTACAATTCTTTTTAAATATTTTTTTAGTTATACATGGACAGAATATATTTATTTTGTTTATTTATCTTTTATGTAGTGCTGAAGATCAAACCCAGTGCCTCATATGTACGAGGCAAGCGCTCTGCCACTGAGTCACAACCTCAGCCCTACAATTCTTATTACATATATAGAGTGCATTTTTTCATATCTCTGGTTGTATACAAAGTATATTCACACCAGTTCATGTCTTCATATATGTACTTTGGATGCTAATGATCATCATGTTCCACCATCATTTCTAACCCCATGCAACATCCTTTCCCCTCCAACCTCTCTGCCCTATCTAGAGTTCATCTATTCCTCCCATGCTCCCTCTCCCTATCCCACTATGAATCAGCCTCCTTATATCCAAGAAAACATTTGGCATTTGGTTATTTGGGATTGGCTAACTTTACTGAGCATTATCTTCTCTAACTCCACCCATTGGGATTGGCTTATTTCATTTAGCATGATAATCTCCAGTTCCATCAACTTACTGGTAAATATAAAAATTTATTCTTCTTTATGGCTGAGTAATGTTCCATTGTGTATATATATCACATTTTCTTTATCCATTCACCTGTTGAAGGGAACCTAGGTTGGTTCCAAAGTTTTGCTATTGTGAATTGAACTGCTATAAATATTGATGTGGCTGTGTCACTGGAGTACGCTGATTTTAAGTCCTTTGTGTATATACCAAATAGTATATAACTGGGTCAAATGGTATTCCTTTCCAAGTTTTCTGAGGAATCTCCGTGCTGCTTTCCAGAGTAGTTGCACCATCTGCATTCCCAGCAGCAACATATGAGTGAAACTTTTCCCCCACAGCCTCCACAAAATTGTTAACTTGTATTCTTGATAATTGTCTTTCTGACTGGAGTGAGATAAAATCTCAGTGTAGTTTTAATTTGAATTTCTCTAATTGCTAGAGATGTTGAACATTTTTTCATTTCATATATTTGTTGACCATTCATATTTCTTCTGTGAAGTACTTATTCAGTTCCTTTGCCCATTTATTGACTGGATTTGTGTGTGTGTGTGTGTGTGTGTGTGTTACATTTTTTAAGTTCTTTGTATATCCTGAAGATTAATGCTCTGAGGTGCTGGTGGTAAAGATTTTCTCCCATTCTGTAGGCTCTCTCTTCATGTTATTGATTGTTTCCTTTGCTATGAAGAATCTATTTAGTTTGATACTATCCCATACCATCACATTTCAAGTTATTGATTCTTGATTTACTTCTCACACTTTAGGAGTCTTGTTGAGGAAGTCAGTTCCTAAGCCAACATGATGAAAAATTAGATCTACATTTTCTTCTAGTAAGTGCAGGAGCAGGATCTCTGGTCTAATGCCTAGGTCCACTTTGAGTTGGTTTTTGTGCAAGGTGAGAGATAGGGATCTAATTTCATTTTGTTACATATGGATTTCCAGTTTTTCCAGCACCTTTTGTTGAAGAGGCTATCTTTTCTCCAATGTATGTTTATGGTGCCTTTGTCTAGTATGAAATAACTGTATATATGTGGGTTTGTCTCTGTGTCTTTTATTCCACTGGTCTTCATGTCTGTTTTGGTGCCAGTACCATGATGTTTTTGTTAATACAGCTCTGTATTATAGTTTAAGGTCTGATATTGTGATGCCTGCTGTATCACTTTTCTTGCTGAGGATTTCTTTGGCTATTCTGTACCTCTAATGTTTCCAAATGACTTGCTTTTTCAAGACTTGCCTTTTCTATTTCTATGAAGAAAGTCATCAGAACCTTAATAGGAATTGCATTAAATCTATATAGTGCTTTTGGTAGTATGGACATTTTGACAGTATTAATTCTGCCTATGAAAGAACATAGATCTTTCCATATTCTAAGGTATTCTTCAATTTCTCTCTTTAGAGTTCTGTAGTTTTCATTGTAGAGGTCTTTTACTGTTAGGGTCTGTAAACAAGTCAGGATAGTGCCTGGCATTTTGCCAGAGGGAGTGGTTTGTGAAATAACGCCAGCAAGCCATTAAGTGTGGAGATTCCTTATTGGTTGACTGCTGTATCTAGTTTATGTTAATTAAGATAAGCTGTGTGGAATGTATATATTTATGAGTTCTAGAAGTTTTCTAGTGAAAGTTTTTGGATCTTCTAAATATATAATCATGTCATTGGCAAACAGTAATAATTTGAGCTCTTCTTTTCCTATTTGTATCCTTTAATTTCTTTCTTATAATTGCTCTGGCTAGAATTTCAAGGACTATGTTGCATAGAAGTGGTGAAAGAGGGCATCCCTGTCTTATTCCAGCTTTCAATTTTTCTCCATTTAGAATGATGTTGGCCTTGAGTTTAGCATATAAAACTGTCACAATGTTGAGATAAGTTCCGACTATCACTAGTTTTTCTAGTGTTTTATTCATGAATGGATGCTGTATTTTGTCAAATGCTTTTTCTGCATCTGTTGAGATAATTATGTGACTCTTGACCTTAAGTCTATTGATGTGACGAATTACATTTATTGATTTCTGTATGTTGAACCAGCCTTGCATCCCTGGGATGGACTCCACTTGATCACAGTGCACTGTTTTTAATGTTTTTGTATGCAATTTGTCAGTATTTTATTAAGAATTTTTGCATGTATGTTCATCAGGGATATTGGTCTGAAGTTTTCTTTCTTTGATGTGTCTTTGTCTGGTTTTCGTATCAGGGTGATACTAGCTTCATAGAATGAGTTTGAAAGGGTTCTCCCCCTTTTCTCTTTCATGGAATAATTTGAGGAGGATTTGTATTAGTTCTTCTTTGAAGGTCTTATAGAATCCATCTAATCCTGGGATTTCCTTTATTGATAGGCTTTTGACAGCATCTTCTATTTCATTCTTGAAATTGATTTGTTTAAATTTTCTACATCTTCCTGATTCCATTTCGGTAGGTTCTATGCCTCTAGATATTTGTTTATGTCTTCAATATTTTCTATTCTACTGGAGTATAAATTTTCAAAATAGCTTCTCATTATTATCTGATTTCAATAGTCTCCATTGTGATATTTCCTTTTTCATTGCAAAATTTTTGGAATTTGAGTTTTCTCTCTTTCTCTTTGTTAGTGTGGCTAGGAATTTATGAATTTATTTATTTCAAAGAACCAACTTTTTGTCTCATTGATCTTTTGATTGTTTGTTTCAATTTCATCAATTTAGGCTCTGGTTTTAACTATTTTTCTGTCTTCTGCTTTTGATGTTGATTTGTTTTTCTTCTTCTAGGGCTTTTAGATGTAATGTTAGGTTATTTGGAGGCTTTAATAATTATTTTAATGAATGAGCTCAATGCAATGAACTTTCTTCTCAGAACCGCCTTCAAAATCTCAGAGATTTTCACAAGTTGTACTGCTGTTAATATTTACCTCTAAGTATTTTTTAAAATTCATCCCTATTTCTGCTTTCCATTGATCATTAATAGTGTTTTATTTGGTCTCCAGGTGTTAGAGATGCTTCTATTTTTTAATTTATCATTGATTTTTAATTTCATTCCATTTTGTCCTGATACAATGAAAGGTATTATCTCTCTCTCTCTCTCTCTCTTTTTTTGTATTTGCTGAGTTGTTTTGTGGCCTAATATATGGTCTACCTTAGAGAAAGATCTGTGTTACTGATAAGAAAGTTTATTCAGTCATTCATGGATGAAATATTCTATATATGTCTGTTAAGTCTAAATTATTAATTATACTTTTTAGTTCTATAGCTTCTTCATTTAGTTTTTGTTTGATGAGGCATGTTAAAGTCACCCAGTATTATCGTGTTGTAGTTTATTTGATTCTTAACATTGAGAAGGGTTTGTTTGATATATGTATATCTTCCATTGTTTGGGGCATAAATATTTACAATTGTTATGTTTTGTTGATGTATAATTCCCTTAAGCAGTATGAAACCCCATTGAATTTAACTGCTGCAATAAAGACTCTGTTTACATGCAGTCAAACATAATTCCTAATCAATGTACACCAACGAAAAGAACAATTAATATTTTGCAAAAGCTTTACAAGATATAATTGTTGAAAGTCCCTCAGGTATATTCTCATAATTTTTAAAAATAAAACAGGAGAGGAAATGGGGAAGTATATATTACTTTACA